AGCTCCCCTGCTGACTCCAATAGACACCAAGTTCTCCACCAGGGGAGCAAGACACCATGCAGCAGGGGCACCACCACTTCCCAACCCTCAAATCCCAACCCCATACCAGTACCTATATCAGTTACTATAGAACAGATGGTTGTGACATAATACATTTGATTTTCTACAGAAAACACTGGTAGGTTACCAAAGATATCAATCCTTGTAGGAGGGACATTTGTGACATAATAAATACACTGCTAAAAAATAAAGGGAAGACATAAACGATACAATATAATATCAGTCAAATCAAACTTTGGTGAAATCAAACTGTCCACTTAGAAATTAACACACAATTCCACATGCTGCTGTGCAAATGGAATAGACCACAGGTGGAAATCTTTGGCGATTATCAAGACAACTTCTCAGCGCCTATGCTTTCTGGATGATTTTTTTTTTGGTCACTTTTGAATGGTGGTGGTGCTTTCACACTTGTGATAGCATGAGACAAAACCTACAACCCACACAAGTGGTAGAACAGGCGTCCACAGATGTGTTGTGCTCAGAGTCCAACTCCGTGCAGGACACTCGGCATTTGCCAGAGAATACAAGGACTGGCTGTCTCTGCTCTTCACAGATGAAAGCAGGTTCACACTGAGCACATGTGAAAGACATAATAGAGTCTGGAGAAACGGTGGAAAGCAATCTGCTACCTGCAACATCCTTTAGAATGACTGGGTTGGCAGTGGTTCAGTAATGTTGTGGTGCGGCATTTCTTTTGAGGTCCACACAGCTCTCCATGTGCTCATCAGAGCTAGCATGACTGCCATTAGTTACTGAGATGAGATCCTCAGCCCCCGTTTTCAGACCGTCAGCTGGTGTGGTTGGCCCTGGGTACCTCCCAATACAGGACAATGCCAGACCTCATGTGGCTGAAGTGTGTAAGCAGTTCCCTGAAGATGAAGGCACTGAAGCTATGGACGGGTCCTCAGACCCGAATCCTATCGAGCTCATCTAGGACATCATGTCTTCATCCTTTAACGTTGCACCACAGACTGTCCACGAGTTGAAGGAAGCTCTAGTCCAGGTCTGGGAGGAAATCCCCCTGGACACCATCCACCGCTTCCTAAGAAGCATGCCAAGGTGTTGAAGGGAGGTAATCCAGGCATGTGGGGGCCACACAGCTAATATTGAGCCACATTTTGACCTGTTGAAGGACATTACTCAAAGTTGATTCCACCTGTCTATGTTTTTCCACGTCAAAGTTGCGTATGGCTCCATATCCAGGCCTCCATTGCTTGATACATTAGATTTTAATGGATGTTTTGTTGTGTGATTATATTGTCAGCACATTCAACTTTGTACAGAACAAAATATTCAGGGAGAATATTTCATTCATTCAGATCTGGGATGTTTTATTTGAGTGTTTGCTTTATTTTTTGAGCAGTGTATTTATTTCCAAAGAAAGAATAGTTTCTGTAGAAGGGGTTGGTGTGATATTATAGATATCTAAATCCTACAGAAGTAACTTGTGTGACATTATCAGTTTATATTGTAAGGACTTGTATGCAGGGACTGGAGAGAAGGTTTAGTTTGATGTTCCAGACATTCCCTCAAGGGGGACTTAGACAGCATCAAAGGTTTAAGGTCCTGCAAATGGGACTGTTGTGGCATTACAGCTGCACAAGGGACTGTTTCTATGTAACTTGAAGCTTATCTCATTGGACAACATGCTAAATGCTTATCCAGAGGCCATAATTGTCTCTCCCAACTGAATGTCCTTACAGTAAGTCTTTGGATGAGTTGCTATCAATCAATCTGCTGACCCAAACAGTTGGAGCACATCGCAGGAGGGGTTTTAGGTTTGTGAGCCAATATATGGCCTATCCATGCCAAAACTATTCCAGGACTCAAATGCATAACACCATCACGCCGGCTCTACTGGGCGAAAAAACTGACAGCGATGCAGATGGATGCCCCCATTGTGTCCTGGATTGTGGATTACCTGACTGGCAGACAACAGTACATGCCCCTACAGCACTGCATGTCAGAAAAGGTGATCAGCAGCATTGGGGCCCCTCAGGGAGGGGACTGTCTTCTCTCCCTTCCTCTTCACCCTGTACACCACAGACCTCAGCTACTGCACAGAGGGCCGCTACCTTCAGAAGTTTTCTGATGACTCTGCAGTAGTCGGATATATCGACGATGATGAGGAGACAGAGCACAGGGGTGTGGTGGACGACTTTGTTACCTGGTGTGATCAGAACCATCTGCAGCTCAGTGTGGCAAAGACCAAGGAACTGCTGGTGGATCTGAGAAGGATTGAGGCCTGTGAGCCCTGTTTCTATCTGTGGGATCAACATGGACAATGTTTAGGATTATAAATAATTAGGGGCGCCCTTGGACAATATACTGGACTGGACTTAAAACACAGGAAGAGCCAGAGCCATCTCTGTTTTCTGAGGCTGCTGAGGTCCTTCAACATCTGCTGGACAATGCTACAGATGTTTTATGAGTCTGTGGTGGCCAGTGCCATCCTTTATGCTGTTGCATGCTGGGGCAGCAGACTGAAGGTGAAGGACGACAACACACTTAATAAACACCTCCTCAAAGCCAGTCAGGCTGTTGGAGAGGAGCTGAATGTTGGCCAGGAACAAATCATTCCTGCCTTCCTCAGAGACGATGGACTGAACTGTTAAACCAGGTAGTGACTCACACAGATAATCGTCTCCCGTTAGATGATTGTGGTCACTAACCTGTGTTTCTCCCTGCAGAGTGTCAGGGATGGGGTAGCGTCCCGTCCCCCTCATGCAGCGTTTTGAACTTTCCCACTGTCTGTCTCACCTTGGATACTGGGTCCATCTGTCCTGTTTATGACTTCCTGGCTCTAGTTCCCCAGGCTTTGCTCAGGGCCAGAACAAAAAGTGGTTAGAAGAAAATGAAACCCACACATTTCTGAATACTCCTCCCACTTAGCCAGTCATTCACTCAAACTCTTGAAAAAGGTATGCCAGGACCTTTTCAAATGACTATAACCTCCCATTTTAAGTCATTCTGACTCATGCATCACTGTTAGTTAATATTGTAACTGATGAGATGATCATATTCTCACTCACTACCTTCCTGACTCACTCCTTTGTTTTGGCAATCTGCCTTATCATTGTGAAGTATGAGAGGAAAGGTCACAACAGAACAAACACAGAGAAAACTGCCACACAAAATATAATCCCACCGGGAAGTTTCATTTTTGGTCATTAAATTCAGTATTTGCGTCGTGCAGTTTCTGTTTAAGTCTAACAGTAAATCTCATAGCAGATGTTGCTGAATGACACAGATTAGAAGTTTGAACAGAATTATGAAAGAACAGCATCTCAACAGAGGTGGACATTTTTTAATCGCTCAAATCTTTCCATATCTTGTGACTTGGCAGGCCAATGAAGAAAATACAAACCTTACTGCTGCACCCACCTTTTTATTATAAGCAGCTCTATAGTTGGCCTATCATACAAAACAAAATTACTATACGTACCATTATTTAATGGTGTTAAAATGAAATCAATCAAATCCCTAAAGACAGAAAAACATATATAATTTATATTTTTTGTAGCCCTTATTCTCTAGCTGGTCAGATGTAAGAAACTTTCATTCCTTGCAGTTTATTTATAAAATGCCGATTCACAAGAATTGTCTTCTGCAAGAAATGTACAGAGAAGGTTCAATCAGATCATACGGTCAGATTGGTTTTCTATCTAAGAAAGAAAGCATCTGATTGCATAAAGTCATTAACTTTACAGGATTTGCTCCTGGTTGAGCGTTTGGCAGCAGTACATATTCATAGAATGAGTTATGAAAGTTTTCTCACCATCTTCATCATTTTTCTCCTATTTCTAATTATCTTTCAGGTACGAACACATTTTCTAAGTTCTCCAGACTGACGTAGAAGTCTTCTTCCATCCGTCAGCTGTTATCCAAACTTAGTCTTTCACTAAATTAACCAGTTTTTTGTTACTTAAAGCAATTCATTTGATTAGGCTACATCATTCAATGCAGGTCCAGCAGGTTCTGCAGCAGCTTCTTCCCCACCGCCATCAGACTGCTGAGCTGATGAAACTCTAAATCCTGTCTCAGACTCTGCATCACATTGATGACACCAAACCAAAACACGGCAGATCTGCACCATAGATATTAAAGCTCTGAACTTCCACATCAATGCGTTTTTGCTCCGTGATTTTTCTCCCATGCTGTTTATATTTGATCACTGCTGCACTTTATGAATGGACATGTTCTGAGAGCTGTGCACAATGAAATGTCATTTTGTTTACACTGTGTTTAAAAGTAAAAGTTGTCTACGTCATAAATTATGCAGCTCTGCAATTATAAATTAACATTTTAATCACTGATGATAGAACTACCGGATCGATACACTGATATGTCGGTATTCAGGGGACTCTGGTTGAATTTGTTCTTATTTTGCCTAAATAAACTCAGTTTGCTGCTGTTTTAACAAACTTCTTTCACCGTCAGAAAGTCTAAAATCAATTCTACCCCAGAAATAATCAGAAGAGCATCTTATTTTGCTTATCATAAGAAAACCCCTCAATACATGTTGAGAAGTTTGTTCCACAATTTTAGCAAAAATCTCTCTTTGAAAACATGCTAGATATTAAAATAAAGAATAGATTGATATTAAAGATTTTAAAAATAGTTTAACAAAAAAATTCACTTTCATAAGATTCTAATTAGTTGTGAAATTCTTCTCTAAAAATGGTAATAAAATAGAATCTGTAGTTTCTGGCTGCCTGTCATAGACATGCTGCTCTTTTCCTTCTGCTTTCTTATTTTTGCATTTCTTTAATTACATAAATTGCTCCTCAAAAGGCTGATTAATGAGTCTCCCTCTCCCATGTTCCTTTAAGAGCAGTGGGTGAGGGTGGGGGGGCCTGGTTGTGGTGTTCCCTGTGAGGCCGCTAGGCGCGTCTCTGCTCCATGAAAGCCTGCGACAGCAGAGTCTGTGGAGCTGAAGGAGGAGGAGGAGGAGGAGAGGGAGCCAGAGAGAGGGAGAGAGGAGCTGTTCTATCAGCCTGAATCGTGAGGAGCGACGATGGGGAGAAAATTCTGTCTCCTTTCCTCCAACATCCCTTCATTAAGATGTAGAGCGATGCGCGTCCAGAAAATCACAGCAGATCTTAGAGAAGAAAAGATATTTTGGATTTACGGACTAATGGGAGCTTTTCCTTTCCTTTCCACGCGTGTGAATCTGAGCTGAGTTTTTCCCTCTGGAGTGAGAAGCGGAGCAGCTTGATTCCCAAACGCTGGAGCGGATTTTCTTTCCTCTGGAGCTTTTTGGGAGGACCTTATCCTAACGGGACGGAACGCAAAGAGGAATATAGTGGGAGGCAAGAAGAGGCGCAGCGGATCTTCTCTGACGGTAAATTCACCTCTAGACTCACTTCTTTAAGGTCCAGCAGCGTTGATCATTCGGCTCCATGATCATCCTCCATGGAATGAAGCCGCTGAGATGCAGTGGGCTGATGTTTAGATGTGGAGAAGTGTTGGTCGGTAAGTTCAGGTGAACCTGTGTGGCTTGGAGAAAAAGGAGGATGAACATTCCTGTCTTGTGGTTTTTTTGGAAAGCCTGGTGATCCTTGTTGGGAACCGGAGAGAAATGCACATCTTTCCTGTTTTTCCTTCTGTCGCCACTTTGGAATCGCTCTGCGCTCAGAGCGCATGGACGCACAGAGCTGCGCACTGAGCCGCTGCGTAAAACAGCCAAGCTCTGGGTCTGCAAGCATTTGCTGGGAGTTTGGAAGCCTGATAATACAGCCTCCTTCAGGGGCTCCTCTCCTCCTGACGGTGCTTCTGTCGCTGCTCAGGTTTAACGGTTATCAGACCTACTTGCAGACCAAGCTGCCATCTTTACGGATTTTATAGAAAGGCGCATTTTGAAATGTTGCTGGATGTTCTAATGCAGGTAAAGCTGCAGTTTAGAGGAACTATAGAGGTCTCTATCTTCTCCTGACTAGAAGGGGGGGAGGAAAGTTGCGCCTGTCGGCCACTGCGGGGGCACCATCACCATATAAACGGGATGAATGCGGTAGCTGTGAGAGTGCGTGTCTGTGCGTGGATGGAAACGGAGGCTTGGATGTGTTGAATTCAAAGATCGGAATCTATGAAAGATGAAGCTTTGTCCCCCCCCCCCCCCATAAAGACCACTAACATGAAATAACAAAAACATCAAACAGTTGCTGATTTTAAACTGTCCAATAGGACACACAGGTTTCTCAGCCAGTGACGTAACATTTTGCAACAAATGTAATCAGATATTTTTCTCTATTTGTTTTTTGCTTCCTGTCAAAAAGATGATTTTACATTCTGACAGCTGTGTCACGTGACCTTCATCATTTCTCTCTCTCTGCTAAATGACCAAAGCACCAAATTCAGTCCATGAACCATTTAATATTAACATTAAGCAAATATTTCCTCAGCAAACATCAAATCTAGTTTAGTATTTCTACTACATTATATCTAAATATTTAAAAACATAAGAAGCTTTCTGGTATTTTAATGAGAATAATTGTTACAGATCTTTGATGAATAATGATGAGGAGGATCCACAGTAGTTCTGTTGGTTTATTGTTACATCTTTACATTTTCAAATGATAATTTTTGATGTTATTCTAATAATATAATGATCAACCAGATTATTTTTATATTTTTTGGTGAAATGATATCATTCTTCAGATTATGCATCTGAATAATAATTCCATTTATATTTTTGGTTTTACTCACAATCAGACAGATGGTGAAAAACCCAAACAGCAGCTTCATTCTCTGTGGTTAGAAATTCACAAATAGATGGAAGAAAGAATTTGAACCCAGAATGTTTTATCCTGGAAGCTAGAAAATCTAAATAGATGCTGAATGATTCTCCTCATTCAGCCCAATAAAGTCAGTGGAACAGAAAAAAGCCACAAAACCCAATTATTCTCCTGTTGGTCTGATAGAAACAAGACTGAACTTTTAATGAACTTTGATTGGATTTTATTTGTAGACAAATATTATACACATCTATCTATCTATCTATCTATCTATCTATCTATCTATCTATCTATCTATCTATCTATCTATCTATCTATCTATCTATCTATCTATCTATCTATCTATCTATCTATCTATCTATCCTCTATCTATGTATCTATCTATCTATCTATCTATCTATCTATCTATCTATCTATCTATCTATCTATCTATCTATCTATCTATCTATCTATCTATCTATCTATCTATCTATCTATCTATCCTCTATCTATCTATCTATCTATCTATCTATCTATCTATCTATCTATCTATCTATCTATCTATCTATCTATCTATCTATCTATCTATCTATCTATCTATCTATCTATCCTCTATCTATCTATCTATCTATCTATCTATCTATCTATCTATCTATCTATCTATCTATCTATCATCTATCTATAAATATTTATTTTTCTGATCTTGGTGTGTTTTTGTATCAATATGTGGAGGGAGGGACATGAGTGTCCCAATGTGTCTCAGTGTGTCCCAGAGTGTCCCAATGTGTCCCAGTGTGTCCCAGAGTGTCCCAAGGTGTCCCAAGGTGTCCCAGTGTGTCCCAAAGTGTCCCAGAGAGTCCCAATGTGTCCCAGTGTGTCCCAGAGAGTCCCAATGTGTCCCAGTGTGTCCCAAAGTGTCCCAGAGAGTCCCAATGTGTCCCAGTGTGTTCCCAATGTTTCCCAATGTGTCCCAGTGTGTTCCCAATGTTTCCAAATGTGTCCCAGTGTGTCCCAAAGTGTCCCAGAGTGTCCCAATGTGTCCCAGTGTGTCCCAGAGTGTCCCAAGGTGTCCCAGTGTGTCCCAAAGTGTCCCAGAGAGTCCCAATGTGTCCCAGTGTGTCCCAGAGAGTCCCAATGTGTCCCAGTGTGTCCCAAAGTGTCCCAGAGAGTCCCAATGTGTCCCAAAGTGTCCCAGAGAGTCCCAATGTGTCCCAGTGTGTCCCAGAGAGTCCCAATGTGTCCCAAAGTGTCCCAATGTGTCCCAGTGTGTTCCCAATGTGTCCCAGTGTGTTCCCAATGTTTCCCAATGTGTCCCAGTGTGTTCCCAATGTGTCCCAGTGTGTCCCAAAGTGTCCCAATGTGTCCCAATGTGTCCCAGTGTGTTCCCAATGTTTCCCAATGTGTCCCAGTGTGTTCCCAATGTGTCCCAGTGTGTCCCAAAGTGTCCCAGTGTGTTCCCAATGTGTCCCAGGGTGTCCCAATGTGTCCCAATGTGTCCCAGGGGGTCTGATCTACATTTCTCAGCTCTCATCCGTCCAATGGCGTCTCCGCCTTTTTGCTCATCATGTTTCCAACTCATTCTAAGGCCATTGAGTTCCGTTGGTTTAATGTTTTTTCTGAAGATCATGGTTTATCACTGCTGGCTTCTAACATGCTCTATATCTATAGCTGATTAATTGATACATCATGCTTGGGACCTTCTAGCAGTTAGCAGATTGTTTTATTAAATCAGGAGACATGGCGTGGCGTGGCTTTCCATCCTGACTAAAGTCATCCAGGTGACGATGCGGTCTCGTTCTGCAGACCTAAGGTTACGATAAGCTTCATGCAGAGAGCACATTTCTACATCCAGAGCGTCACAGACGGCTGCTCTGTCAGCTCCAGGAGCCATCAAACTCTAATGCTTCTCTTTACAGCATTTTCTATGTGCGGCATTAACTTTGTAATAGGTTGTATATTAAGCCTGGCTGTGATCTCCTCCCTCACATAACCAGATAGTTTGGATCCTTCTCCCAAAGCAGAAGGTGAAAAAGCAACGATTCTCCAGTATAAACCTTTAAATGCAGCATTCAGAGGAAAACTGCGTCTCATGGTTGGCCTGATTTTGCTCTGTAGATGAAGAGGAACTTCCTGCAAACCTCCAGGTTTAGAATCAGTCATCATAGAACCAGTCTTTCTAGAACATGAAACCATATTTCTGCACAGAATTTTGAACAGTTTTGAAAAGATATGAAAATCAGTATTTAGATGAAGATAGAAACTATTTGAGGGTTATCCTCCAAATAAAAAGATGTTTTTTTTTTCACAGCTTGAGAGGAAGTTCATGGCTCATAGTTTCCACTAAAGGAAATCTTTCCTATAACCAGTATAGATTTTCTTTTTAGAAGATTAACCAGAATAAAAAAAGGTTACAAGGCTCGACGTTTACTGAAGTATAATTAAAAGCAAAACTTTAAATAAAGATGACGCTGCATCAAGTCTGTGGCCGTCAGTCTTAATATTACAAATATAAAATGTTTCATGTCTTTCCAGAAGTAAACAGGAAATAATGTCAGTTTAAATAAACAGGAAATAATGTCAGTTTAAGTAAACAGGAAATAATGTCAGTTTAAATAAACAGGAAATAATGTCAGTTTAATTAAATCTAATCATTTTTCTCATAGTTATTCTGACTTTGTTGAGGCTGAACTTTGGTGTTTTGGATCATTGGTTTCTAAAAACTGCAGAATGTTCTTTATTTCTAATGAAGCTGTGAAGAAACCATTACAGTAATTGAAATTTGCATCTTTCTTTACTGAGACAGCAGGAAATAGATTAAGTATTGATAGGAAGGACACAGATGTTTTTACTCAGCTACTCTGTCTTCAGTCTCAAACGTCTTTTTTCTTTATTTCTTGTCACAGGCTGTTGTTGCCTGGATCCACGTTGCAGTTTTTAAGGCTTAGTTATAAGAATAAAGGACAGAATATTAAATTTAGATTATATTCTAGTAAAAACGACAGAAATCAGACTATACTAGCTACAGTGCAGTTACATAACCTGCTTATTTGTTACCTCATGTTAGCGTAGCTTCAAGGCACTCAGTCGGTTATAATTTTGTAGAGTTTGTATTGAGGGTGAATATAAATCATTTAAAAAGTCTACAATGTGAAGGTTCAGTTTAAAAATAGCAACCTTATGCAGAATGCAGAACATTTGAAACCTTTAAAGACTCTGGTGAAAAATAGCCATAGTTTAACCTTTTCCTCAATCATTCCATTTGATGTATTTTCCAGTTTGCATTTTTAATCGTCCCAACAAGTTTTCTGTGTCTTTAGGAAATAAATAATTCCCTGAAAGTAAAGAAGGTTTGACCTAAAAAAATGAGAACTGCTCATAATATGATGAATATATGAAAACTCTGTTGGGTAAAAAGGTCTTGCTGGCTGCTCGTTGCTGGTTGCTTGTTGCTGGCTAATGGCTGCTTGCTGCTTGTTGCTGGCTGCTCGTTGCTGGTTGCTTGTTGCTGGCTAATGGCTGCTTGCTGCTTGTTGCTGGCTGCTCGTTGCTGGTTGCTTGTTGCTGGCTAATGGCTGCTTGCTGCTTGTTGCTGGCTGCTCGTTGCTGGTTGCTTGTTGCTGGCTAATGCTGCTTGCTGCTTGTTGCTGGCTTCTTGTTGCTGGCTGCTTGTTGCTGGTTGCTTGTTGCTGGCTGCTTGTTGCCGGCTGCTGGTTGCTTGTTGCTTGTTGCTGGCTGCTTGTTGCCGGCTGCTTGTTGCTAGCTGCTGGTTGCTTGTTGCTTGTTGCTGGCTGCTTGTTGCTGGCTGCTTGCTGCTGGTTGCTAGCTGCTGCTGGCTTGTTGCTGGCTGCTTGTTGCCGGCTGCTTGTTGCTAGCTGCTGGTTGCTTGTTGCTTGTTGCTGGCTGCTTGTTGCTGGCTGCTTGCTGCTGGTTGCTAGCTGCTGCTGGCTTGTTGCTGGCTGCTTGTTGCCGGCTGCTTGTTGCTAGCTGCTGGTTGCTGGTTGCTGGCTGCTTGCTACTTCCTGCTTGTTGCCGGCTGTTTGCTGCTTGCTGCTCGTTGCTGGCTGCTGGTTGAGACACCAGGGGAAACCAAACTCTAGGAGCCATGGAGAGACGAGGAAAGCAGACAGACGTTAGACGAGGATCCAGCAAACAGGAACTGAAGAGGGAGGGCTTTTAAAGGGGACAGAGACAAAGAGAGGGCTAACGAGAGGATTGGAAACAGGTGAGGGCAGAGCAGAAAACAGAGCTAGGGAAAGAGGACACAAGAGGGCAGCAGAGGACAACAAATGGAAAACCAAGACTGTGACATAAAGATCCAGATGAAAAGGAGCACAGATCTTTGAATATTTCTCTCTCATTCTTCTTGTTTCTATTTATGTAAATATGATGTAAATGTTTCATTCTATTGTTATTAAAATATTTCATCTGTTTCATTTAAATATTTAGTCAAGTTGCAAATAATTGGAAATGTGAATGAAAATGAGAAAAAAAATATTTCCCCCAAAAAATTGGAATTGTGCATTAAGGCCTGCAGTGTGAACGTAGCCCACTATAAAAAATGGGCTAAAATATATAATTAGCTATATAATTATTAGTTAATTAAATGTGTCAATGTGACTACTCTGCTTTGGTGCTTTACACTAAATTCCATTACAATATTAATCTATTAGGTTTGGTTGCATTGATGAAATAAAGAAATCAGATTTTTTGCTGAAACGTGTTGCTGGAAATGGAAATGTTTCCATTGATTGTTTAAATTTATCCATCTAGTGCTGCAGAATCATCCTTTTCTGTGCAGCAGTGAGGAGAAATCTAAAGCTTGCAGAGCAGCGAGAACTGAGGACCAGTATGGAGACGGTTTGCAGCAAACTAGGCCCAGATTTGACCATGAAACCATGTTTTTCAGCTGATGCCATTTATTAGCATCGACAAGTTGTTTCTTCTTTTGAAAGATTTATTCCTGAACTGGTTTATTCAGCAACTTTTATATTGCTATGTTGTGTTTTATAGAGAAGGCTAGATTCCCTGGCAAAGCTTTGAAAAAGGACTTTTTCAATCTTTTTAATGAACAGTTATGAACTACATGTTTAACGTTGCTACCTTAGTTAAGTCTGAATTATGTTTGGCAGCATTATAGCACTTCCTGCAATTCTTGGTTGGTTTGCAGTAAAGGTTTCCTTTACTATGAAACACCTGGAATGAAAGTTGAACGTTTCTAGCACAAGAAAATCACAGTCCTTCAGTTTCAAACCAGAATGAAACTTCAGGCATTTTTCTGTCTCTAAATAAGCAAACGCTTAAGAAAAAGGAACATAAGTATTTACAGTCTTTCCCAAGAGTCAGAAGAGAACCAGGCTTCTAAGATTGTCGTTGAGGTGAGGCTAGGCAATACCAGGCAGGGTATTGCCTGGTATTGCCTGGTATGGGGCCCCCAAGTTCCTGGGGGCCCCATAAAACTCTGTTTACATGTATGGTTAATACAACTATTCCTTATTTGTTCCTTATGTTTTTGATAAAAATCCTTTGGCTAAAATGTCATCAAAACACTTATAATATTCAGTGTGTCTCAGCCCCCCCCCCCCCCCCCTCAGTGTCCACCATATTGGATCAGTCCATTTGCTGCACATGTTCAGAAAGGTCCAAACAGACAGCAGCAAACCATTTGAAAACAAACCATGCAAAGAGCAGTGTTGCCAACTTAGCGCTTTAGTCGCTATATTTAGCCACTTTTCAGACCCCTCTAGCACTTTGATTTCTAAAAAGCTCCTAGCGCCAAATCTAGAGACTTTTTTCTGCTACTGGAGACTTTGGAGACAACATCTAAAAGCAGCGAACTCTGCTCTCCAGAGCGAGTATTGGTAACCCCGCCTCCTGCTCTCCTCTATCTTGTCTGCTGTCATGATTCATGCAGCTATTATTTCATCCAAATGAAAAATGGAGAACAGATAAGCAGATCATGGCTTGTCTACAGTGAAAAGAAGGACTGGGTTATTTACTTTGGCCTTTTTGGAAACACAGGAAGGAGCAATCAGCTAAGTGAGCTTAGCGCTTGGAAAAAATCTTTCATTCCTTTAGAGACAGCATGAAAAGTCAGCTGAGTACAAAACATAGAGAGGAAAACAAGAAGAAAAGGGACAAGAAGAGAGGGACACAACCTAGAACAGATAATGGATGTCTATTCTATTAACATTTCTCTATCTGGAGAATGGGGCTGTTTGATGGGTTTTCTTCTCACTTCAGAGGGCCCCCTGCCTGTCTCTGCCTAGGGCCCCACATTTCCTAAATGTGCCTCTGTACTAAATGAAACTTGATGTGGAAAGAAACTTTATCTGCTATATAATGTCACGGTTCCTTCATGGTTCTTATCAGTTATTCTGTTTTGTTGATCTTGGGTTTATTTTCCATTATATTCCAGCAGTCTTTAGTTACTCTCTGCTGCCCCCTGGTGCTTGTTTCCTTTCCCCTTGGCGTCCCTCTAGTTGGTTCCATTCACACCTGCTCCATATCAGC